GGGCGATAGTGGAGACTTGAGGAGGCTGGCTTCACCCTGGCCTTCCATTGGCAGACGGTCCTCAAGGAGATTTTCCCCAAAGGCATCCCAGCTCAGGGGAGATGCTGGTCACAGCCTGCTGCGATCCAAGAGAGCTCAAAGAGTCTCACTTAGAATCACTGTTTATAGGACCCTAGAGAATTGACTTTTGTCAGGTACTTTTCTACTTTGGCCCAGCTGGTGAAATATGGTGAAATATTCTGGTATTTTCCACCAGTTGCACAGACTCAGAACTTTTCTGGCCATCACCCCCTTTTGGGCTGTGACTCAGGTACAGGTGTACCAGGCTGTCCGGAGGTGACTGATATCATTATTGTTCCCAAACAATAGGGGAGCAAGAGCGTCACGGTCCAGGTACAGATGTACCAGGCTGTTACGGTTCCCAAGCAAAGCAAGAACCAGGCACATTAAAGGGGTGCCTTAACGCTCTGGTGTGCTGCCCTGGCATGTGGCCCAGAAAAGGGGGGAGAAATTGCACCAAGTACCAAGCGGCTGAAGAGGTGGGGGGCTAACACAGCAGCTGTACAAAAGGCTAAGATGTTCAACTGCCTCCAGAGTGGGACACATGTTACTCAGCCTGTTGCCCAAAGATACATAGATTTCACAAAAATTGCCCCTTGCCTATAGACTCTAAAGTGATGGATATCATTCACCTAAACTATTTTTGGTAGATGTAAAGTTCTCATTGCTGTGGCAGGTAGATACTTTGAATAATTTTCCATAATCACTTATGTGATAGGTATATTGACATCAGAACTTACTAAAAGAGAAAAGCAGGAAAGACAACCCCAACTTTTTATTTCTTTTGAAATCAAATCTGTATTGTATTATCCATACTAGTTTTGTAGAGCAACAAAAACATACTAAACACACATGAAGGCAAATGCATTTTCACTAAAATGATCAGAAAGGTTGTCAATACCTCAGCTGTGTTGCTAAATTTGTTTTTATCTGTAACCTCGTTTTAGTTCATCAAAATCAGCAAGCCTTGGAAAATGTAAATCAGATGAAAAAGATGCACAAAAGCTTAAAAAGATGGAAAGAGAAGAGAAAGAGTTCAGAAAAAAGTTCAAAGTAAGTTTTGTTCACATAAAAGATAAAGGTTAAAATATCTGAATGATGTCCTCTAATTTGTACCCCCTAATCTGTGAACAATCCATTACTTTGCCTTGTAAAAATTACTTGTAAAAATAGTGATCTGAGCATCTGTAAGTCAAAATGACAAGCATGGGCTCATATTACAATGCATAAACAATTATTTGCATAATTTTCCAAAATTTAGTAATAAATGGGAATATGTTGGTCTAAAAATACATGATCATAAGCTTTACGCTGATGGTTTTTAACCAGCATCTCTTTATTTTATTTTTGCAGTTTGAAGGTGAAATTAAAGTTCTTTACTCTACCACCACAGTCCAGGATTTGCCCCAGAGAAGATGGGGACCTAAAGACTTACAAGTTAAACCAGGGGAGTCTCTTGAAATTATAGAAAGTACAGATGATACCAAGGTCCTGTGCAGGAATGAAGAAGGAAAATGTAAGTTTTACTAAAAAGTTGTAGTACAAATCAAATTGTCAGAGAATGATTGAGTCAGGACATGTAAAAAACCCTCTTTCTTGTCATATTAAAGCAGAGCCTAATCCTTGTCCTTTTCCTTGCATGGTAGTCGACAAGAGGTAGATTGTTGTTATTTTATTATTGTGTTTTAAAAAAAATTAAAACTTCAGTAGACAACAGATACCAAATGTGAAAAAAAGGCCAACTGAATTATTTAAACCTTGCTTTGTATCAACTAAGATTAGCAGATGTTTTTGTTCCTTCTGTCTCCCTCTAACTTGCCAAAAAGAGTATAGCTAGGACACCCCACAGAATCTAGTAAAAGTAAAATCCTTGCTGCACCTTTGGTAAGCACTTGCCCATTGACTGCAGCCAAGGGAAAATCAATAACAATAGTCTTACTTTGGATTCCAGAGATGGAGTTAATCTTTTCACCAGGCTGGAGAGGGGTGAGCTGCTTACGAGCCTTCCCCCAGCCCCGAGCCGATCCAAGGCATATGTCCTCGTTGGCATGCCTGCTTGTTTTGGGAGCTGTGCGAGGCCTTTCAGCTTTTCTTTGAAACTCTTGGCCAGGGTGTGCATTGGCAGAAGTTTTTGCATTTTTGGAGAAGTCTGGACCATCTACTGTTGGTTTCAATTTCTGAATATGCTTCTGTTACAGTACTTTTCAAACCTCCTAATGAAAATTCACTTTGTGTAGGAACAGACTGTGTTCAAAGTAGCAGCATCCTTCCGGTCCCCTTTACTTTTTACCTCTGACCTATGTAGAAGACAGACCAATGCCATAAACCTCTGGAAAGGGATTCAGTCACTTTCCTTCTATTTTTCTCTCTTCTGTACTCAGTTGTTACAGTCTGGAGTATAGCCTTCTTCCTGGCAGGCCTGCAGGATGAGGAAGAATTTCTTGCATAATAACACATATGTTTTTCAAAATACAGATTGCACTAGTGTAGCCACTTCACAAAGAGCAGCTTCCAATGCTGCATTTTTTGAATCAAGCTAATAACAAAGTAGAAAGTAGTTCATGTTGGCTGTTTTCCTCACATAGTCTTCAAAGCCTTTCAAATACTGACAAGAGCTACTGCTTTGGTATGCATAAAAGAGCAAAACAAATAAAAATACCCTCTCTGAAAATCTCTGAATAGATCTCTGTCGATTTTCACATTAATTAGTGAAGTTTGAATCCTACTTTAGTTAAGCTCATGACAGTTGCTCTAGTTGCTCTAGTTGCTCTAGCTTCTCATATCTTCAAGATATGATTTTACCTTTTGAAGGTCAGATAAACTAAAAATAAAAAAATAAAGATGTTTTTGTTATTTCCTTGCACATTAATTCTTCCATTTCATCATTAACTTATGAAGCACTTCCATAGCTTCATGCCTCTACCAGCAGTTAAACAAAATTACAAATTATATTATAATGTTTTCCCACGTTTTTAAGCAAGGGCTGATGATCTTAGGAGCTTATTCTGCTATCACTTATTTTAATTGTTATTAAATGATATGAAATTTCAAAAGTGAAACAAGGAACTGATTCTCATTTACCTTTTCAAATTCCTTCTTACTGTTGCCTTGGTCTGACCCATGTACCTTTTGAAATACACCAAAACCTTCAATTCACTTTCATAGACTTTGCGTAAACATTAGGATATAAATGGACTTCAGTGCCTGAAAATGTAAGTGGTGTCCTCTCCAGGCTTCCTTTACACTGTCAGAGAGCAGCTGGCCAGCTTTCAGTGGTGGTAAGTTATCAAGATGGAGTGTGCTGACCGGCTGCTTTGTTCCCGATTATGGAAGCCACATAAATATGAATAAATGAGTTAGAAACTGAAACTTTGGATGTGTGATTTTGGATTAGTAAGTTTAAAAGAGTGTGAGATCAGCAGGGGCTATATCTCCCACATATTTAGGGGCTAGGGACCGTCAGAAAAGCCTAGGTTATGCTTTGCAGCAGTAGAAGGACTGGCATGCGTACATCGGGCTTGCAAGCACACTGTGTTTGTACACCATGACTGTTAGCAAAAAAATTTTGCTTTCCTGTATTTCACGTGAGAAAATTAAAAGACGAAACAACAAAGATTGGATTAGCCAAATGATTTAAAATCATTTGAGACTTCAGGAGCCCTGGAAATTACTGGAGTCTGCTTGGAGAATTTTAAAAACATGACATCTTTAAAAAACTCTCTCAATTTCCATTGAGAGGTTTCCATGCCTTTATCCTAGATAATAAAATCTGAGGAAAGACAACCAGGCTAAGAATATTCTGAATAGACAGAGCTTTCCCTTTGTGTACTGACTTGCAATCAGCCTGAGAGAATATGCAGGTGACTGAAAATCTGCAGCACTGGGTTCTTTGACCATTGACGATTACCTGCAGTTTAACATTTTTAGTAGGCAAAAGTTATAATAGAATTTATGTAAGTATCAAATCATCATAACCCTGAAGATATAAATACAGACAAATGAAGCAAATTCTATCTTACGTAGCTGAAATCAAATATTAAATAGCACTATTTTCATTCATGTAACTTACAAGTCTTAAACAGAAGCTAAGGCAGATTAGTGTCAAATAAAATATTATCACACAAAATTAATGCCTCTTTAGGCAGCCTTCAGCTCTAGCACAATACAGAAGTTTTCTTTTAAAATGCAGTGGTTTTAATGTATTATGGCCTTCACAGAGCAAATCACTAATTACTTTATATATAGCAATCAATTAGTGTGACCATTTAAGCCTCTTAATGAATAAAACAAGGCAACTTATATAGTGATTTCAAATATAACACAAGATCACATTTCTCCTTTAGAACTGTCCTAATTTTGTACCAACATACTAATGCTTACCTACAAACATTGTAATTATAGTTAAGGCTTTCTCTTTGCTGGTATATGTTATACCAATATACCAAAAGTATTTCAGTAGATATCTTTTATCAAAGACAGCCAGTAATTTTTTCAAGATACTAAATATATCGAAGAAGAATATGTGTGGGTTTATCCAATTTCATTAGTAATGCAACAGAGTAATAATTCACTAGTGAGTAGCTTTTCTAAGGTATTTCCATTATCTATATAAACAGTTCTTACCAATGATACAGTTAAAAATTTTCAAAACAATTACAGTCAGTGATAATTAATTGGTGTATACATCTCATAAGAAATTTTTGTTCCTGTAGGAAACTAGACATATTTCTGTTATTTATTATTATAAATATTATTATGTGGTTATTATTATACCACATTTTTGTGCTATAGTTTGTGAATTGTACTGTATTTTGTGTTAATACCTATTGTTTCACACCCCTCTTACATAACCAGGAAACTAAAATATAAGATGAAAACCTACTCTTGCATTACCTGTGTTACTATTTTCTCCTTTCAGCACTAGTTTTCTACACAACGGAAACGATTGCAATGAAACAAGAGAAATGACATTTTATGAATACGTAAAGTACCTGGCACAGTAGACATCTAACTGGGCTTGGAGCTACTATAGTATTCTGATTCTCTACCTAAGGCACCACATTACACTAAACAAGCAGATCAGAATAATTAAAACTAAAATATGACATAGCAAAATTTTCCTTGAATACATGTCCATTGTACTTTGTTATTCATCTGTTATGTCTTTCTGTCTGAAATACCTAAAAGAGAAAAACTGCATTTCACTAGCGCTAGCAACAGAAGAAAAAATATGAATATTTACATTTAACTTAAATACATATATATTTGAATTTTACAGATGGCTATGTTCAGAGAAGCAATTTAGTTGAGAAGTAAGTACAAAGTGATCTTTTTGAAAAATTTGTTATAACACTCAATTTTGTTCTAAACTGTTTGTTAAATAAAAGTGAAATGTAATTATTTTAGTATGTCATTCTTGTCCTGCAAATTGAGTTATTTTTGTGGAGTTTAGATTTCTCAAGAGTTAGACACATACATCCATTCTGGAAATTTTCCAGGGCCATATTTGTCATTGCTTAACCATAAACTCTGGTTTAATCCATGAAAAATTACAATTAAGCATTATTGGTATTACAGTCTTTTACTGAACTGCACATTAATGTGATTAAGTGTATTGATGCCATTTTCAAATGTTTACCTAAAATGGACCAGGTTTTGTTTAGGGTTTGTTTTTTTTTTTATTTCAGTCTTATTGGGACTGAGCAGATTTGGCTCAGCATTGCTCCAAATAACTGCGTGGACTTCAGCATTTAGGTTCTAATCCAAAACTCTCATCGGACAAAGCCTTTCCATTTTCTTCAATGGGCTTTATGTTAGACCCTTAAATATCAAGTCAGGTGTCACTTTTAAAACTGAGGCCTGCAAACACTTTTACATACATTTAACTTATATATAAATAGCCTTATTGGCTTCCATGTGCCTCTTCATGTATCTAAGTGACATATTTTGAAAATTCCTGTTCATGGAGTATGTTTCATTTATAGACATTACCTAAATTCATTATCTAAGAAGCTGCTCCTCCAAAACCATTATGGTGTTGCCAAGTACAGAAACTTGAAATAAGAATTTCAAGGGCACACTGATTTTTTTAACTCATCATTTCTGGTTTCCATTTTAAAAAATCAGTAAGTATTTCATTTTTTACAGAAATATCTCTATGAGTGTTTTAGAATAGCTACTTAAAAACTTTAATTAAAAAAACTAAGCTTTTAATAAAGCAAGCCTTTCACGTTAGAAAGTATCGAGCTCTACCCTTCACTGAAAATCTTTTGACCTAGCTGTCTTGCTCAACACTGCTCTGTTACCACAAAAGTTGCACTTTCCTAATTAGCAAATTAATTACTTGATAGCATGTCTGCACCATACTGCTACATTGTTTTGTATCTGCATGCTAATAGTGATATATATCTGATGTCTCAATTTTTAATACATTTTTCTTTTTTCAAATTACAGTGATGGAGAGATTTACGATGATATTGGTGATGGTATGTTGAACATTTCAAGCAATACAACAACTATATTCAATTACACCAAATAACTTTATCTTTGATTCGAAGACTACACAATACTAATATTTTTGCATTTTATTTGTATTTCAGATTGCATTTATGATAATGACTGATGCAGAATTCTACACAAGTAAGAGCTTCATTGAAGATCAAAATCTATTTTGGATTTCCTAACTGTGAAAGCAAGAAAAGTCACTAAAGCTGATTGCAAATTAATTGGTTACACTCTTCTAAACATACAATTAGCCTTTTTAGGATTTCAGGGTTTTGTCATCCCTTGCTTTGTATGACTTTCATGTTGCCATTTATCTGAACAATTAAAATTCAGGGAGTATGAGCTAAAGTTAAGGTTGTAATTTTCCATTTCCTTTTTACATTTGTGACAGTTCATGTAAAAAACAGTTCTTCAATTAGCTATACCCAGAGGGGCCAGTTAGGTCTATACAGGGGACAACAAACCCTTGGAACAGATTTTACTCTGGCTCTGGTCTACTGAACACCAGCAACTGCCAATCTGGGGAGGATAGCATCCTGAAAAGAAAAGCTTCCTTTGGGGATAACATCCTGTTGTGAAAACAGGAAATCAAAAGTGGGCATCAGAGAAGACAATTGCTGACCTGCCATTCCAACTGCAATAGTGTTAGCTACACTGACATGTACAGCCATGTACCATTACTGAGGAAGTCTCTTTTTCTACATTGTACTAATGATAGAATATTGTCTTCTAAAATTTATTTGACTATTTTTAAATGCTTTTTAACTAGTATTAATATTAAAATAGTAACAATGTTATATGTGTTACATGGAGCACTCTGAGATATAAACCATAGAAGAGTCTACTTTATAGTATCGTGTTGCTCAAAATATATTCAAAACATTTAGGTTAAGATTTAATTTCTGTTTAGTTTGAAGATATGTTGCTGTTGTCACTATAGTAATTTAGGCATTAAAATGGACATATAAACTTAGAATAAAATGGTTGCAAATAGATTAAATACATTAAATACATATGTATATTTATCATACGATTTTGATAATATATTTTTCTTCTAAGTACTATATTTTACACTAGACTTGGCTAAATCAGAGTATAGAAATTAAACATTTCCATGCTTATCCATTGTAGAAACAACATTTATTCCTAAACATCATTGGTGATGCTGTTATCTGCATGAGCAAGTAGCAAATCAAAGTAAAATGAATGGATGAATCATAATAATAATTTTGCACTTATATATCACAACGCACCAGAAATCAAAAGACATTGACAGTGAACTCACAATAAAGAAGGTGCACATGTGCAAAAAATGGAGTATGTATTTGTACTGTGGAATGCTTTTGCTGTAGTGCAAGATAATCAAAAACCTGTAACAACCAATCTGGCTGGATCAGTGCAAGCAACTCCTCTTGACAATCAAGTCTCCTATAGTCCTCAAGGGAAGTAAGGTACACGGTGCAAGCCAATGCAATGTAGCAAACTAGCAAGTTTAGCTTACAAACATAAAAAACTTTTGGCTCTGTTGAAGTCAATGAGTTTTAGTCTTACCTTCAGCAGAGCTGAGATTTTATCTTACAAAAGTGCCTTTTATTGATGGTTCAAAATACAGTAAATCTCTAAGGAGGTATAATGCTATGGGGATATCAAACATAAAATTAACTGTAGAGATAATAGCCTATAAGCTATTTTATACTGTATTTAAAATCACTGATAATACACTGAAAAAGCTATATGCAAACTTGAGTTTCCTGTTCTATATTTGCTATTCAACCAGCATCCGGGGATACAAATACCAATTTTATGTGTAAGCACCAGCACCCAAACTTAAGACCTTGTAAAGTACAATGAATGTGTCTGGCTCTTTGGCAGTTTATTTTTCAGTGGCATTCAAGAGGGTATTTGCATCAAATTAGTGATATGCCAAAGAACTGAGAGGGAACGCAGACATTTAGAAATACACAACCACTTATCAGTTAACAGTAGGACAAATAGTTTTGAAGCACACAATCACTTGTCAGCTCACAATAGGATAAATAGTTTCAAGCTTTACACAATTATCTCAAAAAGAGTTTGTGTTAAATTCTAACATATATGCCCAGTCTTGTTTTAGTTTTAACCGGTAGTAGAATTTCATGGTTTGCAGTAAGACAAACAAAGGAATTTTCCTTTTGAATACAGTTTATCTTGTATTAAAGGATTTCAGTAGAACACAAACCTCTTTTGTCCCCCTGAAAAAGAAGTGAATTTTATTCTCTCTGAGATTTTTCGGTCATATATTTTTAATAGCTTTTCCATGTTCTTAGCCTTGATGCGTTGTAGGTACTGTGTTTCCTTACTGATTATACTGACTGTATAGGTTTTATGATACATTAAATCATCAAAGGAAATAATCATAAGATACATTAAGCTAGAAATCTGTGCATTGTTTGCACAGATCAAATATAATGTGATTGTTACAGGGTGTTGAAATGTATTTATAAGGTATTACACACTGAAAAATTACTGGTATTGTGTTTTTTCTTTTCATTATTTTATCAATGTCATTCACTGGATGCAATTTTTTCTTTCTTCTGAATAAAAGTGTGCTTTCTGACAAGAAATGTGGGTACACCATCTTCTGCCAAAGTAGAACAATAGTAGCTGAAAAATAACTTCTGAAAATTATCACTGAGCAGCTAACGGAGTGAAAATTAACTTCACTATTGTTGCAAAGGCAGCACAACTACAATATGGCATTTGTTTGTCAGTACTTAGTATCCAGAAGATGAAATGTAAGCAGAAAATCTTCTAGACAGGAAAATCTACACTTAGGCAGTGTAATAAAGACTGTGTTTTCAGGGTTTCTCACCTGTAATTTATTCTATCATCTTTTAAAAATCATAAAGAAAGAAAAGGAAAGCTGTTCTCTCTCTTGATATTTTTCCCTCTCCAAACTCAGTCTATAATCCTGGAGTATTTGGCTGTGCCTGCTAAAACATTCAGCAGTGAAAACATCAAAATATTGACATAAAAATTAGACTTCAGCATGAACAACCCAGTTAAGGTAAACAGAGCTGGTTTCCATCTGTGTTGTACCTCTATGCTATCCCAGTAAACAGGCTAAGCAAAACAAAAACTGGGAGGGCAAAAAAGACTTCTCTAGTTCAAGAACTTTAGAGCATTTCTCTGCTGTTACCGCAGGCTCTGGGCTGCAGAAAGATCTCCTGTGCATTCCTGTGTAAGAGGTTTATATTCTCGATCCACATAATTGCAGATCCCTTGGCTACTCCTCCCATGGTGGTAACAAAACCCTCCTCTATGTGCGATCTTGTTTGCATAATCCACCTCAACTGCGAAGATCAGTGCTTTAGTAAGGGGAAGGTAATTCAGTGGAGGAACCTAGATTCACTGTGTGAATTAGATTACCCCTTACCACTACATTACTTCGTGACAGATACAGGTGTAAGCATGTGCGTGTGTGTGTGTGTTTAGTTTATGTCAAGTAAGACATGAACTTCTGAGGAAACTAATGGACCCGTAAAAGGATACCCTTATGACTTCTGCATAGCAGCCCCAGACCATCCTACATGGAGAGGCTTTCGCATATAGCTTCACTACAGAGTGAAGCACTCAAATGCTAGGAGGTGTAAGAAACGAGTTTGTATTTGCACAGCCTCAGTTCTGACTCCTTGTGTGGATGCGTCTTGAACTGTGTGCCCGGTCTATAATTACACGAAGGCTCAGTATTTTTTCCCCCAGGGTCCACGCCTCATTTAGTGCTTGGTCTGGATGAGAGTTAACAGAAGAGGCAGTTGTTCAGCCCTTCAGTTTCTGGCCACTCCTTTATTTAGTGCAAATCTTCCCAGGCATATGCTGCACCCAGAATCATTATTTTCTCACAGCATTCATCATAAAGATACATCAGATTCCCATGAATAGTAATGGATTTATCTTGTGAGACAGGAAAATATTTTATCCCTATTTTTAATGTACGAAAGGAAGACACAAACAGAGGGCAATTTGTGGTACACATCCTTAATCCTGGACACAAAACCAAACTACTGAATTTAAATTAATTACATTTTTAGCACTTCCCTAGATTAGGAGTCTCACTATTTTCTCTTCTTTGCCTCAACTTGTGGTTAAACACAAAGAGAAGAGAGAAAACACCTTGTGTTTAAAAAGTATTAGCATCCAAAATGCGTATTTTAAATACACCATGTTTACCGTAATAAAAAGGGGGCAGATAAGGGATACTGATTAAAATTTAAATAATAGTTTAGATTATGTTCTGAAACTTTATAAAAACTGGGGACAAATTCTAGAATTGAATGGTCTCAATTATTATCTCCACTTACCTCATTCGCTGTCTCCCAACTCCAGTGTTGCCAGCAAGTTTGTTGGCCTGGTTTCAAGCCAGGTCTATGCCTTTTGCCAGAATTAAACCTTTACGTGTATATGGTCTGTGGATATGCCAGGCTGAGACACCCAAACCAGTTCTGAAAGAATTAACGTATTAGAAGCCATTCACCCAGGATAACAGCGCAGCCCTCCAAGCCCTCCACCTCAACTACTTAGCCTGGGTAAGAAACAAGGTAGTAGTGCAGCTGAAGGGTTGTCCTAAACAGTTCCCAGCATCCAAGCCAGCAAGAAGATCCTTCTGTGCCACTCAGGTTAGCCATGGTACTAAACGCCAAACGCCACCGCAACAGGTCCTGGCCTCGTGCAGAGCAGCAGCGTGCTAGCCTCAGGTCCCCTTCTTCGCCTGGGTGGAGCAAAATTACAATCATCTCACAAAGCCTTTCTTTTCTTTGTGTTTCATTCTAGCTAGCTGGCTCCTGAACATATGTAGAATTTGTTAAATTATATCTGTTTGCCTCCTTCCAAAGCACTTTGAGAGAGAGGATTAAGCTGTTATCAAATATATAGTGTTTCTTGCTCGAGGCTTTTTATATTGTGGGCCTTGTCAAAAAGAATACAGGAAACTGTATGTCTATTTTCTTTCTTAGCACACAGACACATAAATACTGCTTAAACTTAAAATGTTCACTGTTAGGCAGAAAGGAAGTATGCAAAATGTCAACATGAATGTGAATGAAATGTGAATTAGATGGATACCAGGGGTTTTAAGAATCA